GAGCACACACCAGAATTTAACACATTCCCATGCAGCTGGAAATGTTAGCAAGTGTCCCCTAACATAAAGGCCTGCTCATGTGCTGTCACTGGCATAAGTCAGCAACAGGCACTTCTTCAAAGAGCTGCATGCAAGTTCTTACAGACAAGTCCTGCAGAAGCCTGAATACAGAAAAGGCACCTGCCTGTGAAACATGCCTAATAGACCAGACTTGAGGGTTTTTCCAGGACACAGCCAGAGTTGAGAGCTGACAATTCTAACACTGAACACTAAAAGCTCCTGTGCAGAGCTGTGTTCCTGTCTTCCTCCTAGTTCTGTGTGTAGTTTGGATTTAGACTTGTATTACTGAAATGAACAATGCGGTTCAAAGTAAGACTCAATTCCAAGCCCCACTATGGATTTGGTGAGGTTGTTCCTTAGAGACAAAAGTTAACATTTCCAGTGTTTACCACAATGCTTTTAATTCACTTCTTTGCTTCAAATAAAAATCAATAGACTTATTCTTTCAACACAGAACTCTTGAGGATTCTTCTAAGGGCAAATGAGAATTATTCTAATTTCATTCCAGATGTGGAATGAAAAACTTAAACAAAAACTTAAACCAAATAGTTCTTTGAATTGGCATGAGGATTGGTAAGGGGAGAAAGAGAAGGCTGGTGGTGAGCAAGTCCCCTACTTTAAGCTTCAAAAACTCCTCAATCTTGGCAGTCCTTCCAAAGACAGACTCAGAATGCATCTGACATACTTTTGTAGGCTTCTCCTATAATACAGCCTCTAACAAAACTAGGCTGTCCCAAACCCCTGGTATTAGAATCGTTTACCTTTATACAAAGAAGGTTGGGAAAGCATCAAAATCTGCATGTGCTGTGTGCCCAGGCAGATTTCAAGGGTATGTGCTGTGAGACCTACGAGATATCTAAAACAAATACTCATACATCAGCAAGGCCTACAGTGGGTCCACGCTTGCTAAATATGCCCATGACAGGATCAAGCATGCTTTCCTTACTGAGGGACAGAAAACCGCTATGTTGAACGGACAAGCAGAATCAGAAACCTACATTTTTAAAAAGTAATAATTAAAAACTGAAGCTTGAGTAATAAAAAGTCAAAAGGCAAAAAAAAAAAAAAAAAGACCTTAAACTAAGCAAAAAATATACTACTTGGGCAATTTTGAAAAAATGTGTAAATATTTATTATGTTTGCAGAATTGAAAACTTGGGACTTAATGGGTTAAAACCTTCAAGCAGGTGTGGTGGCACATACTTATAATCCCAGTGACTCAAAAAGCTGAGACAGGAGAATCACAAGTTCACCCAGACTTTGTTGAGACCCTGTCTCAAAATGGTGGGGTAGGAACAGGATATTGGGGATATAGCTCAGTGGTAAATCATGTGTTCTATTCCCAGCAAAAAAAAAAAAAAGTGAGGGCTGGGGATGTGGCTCAAGCGGTAGCGCGCTCGCCTGGCATGCGTGCGGCCTGGGTTCGATTCTCAGCACCACATACAAAACAAAGATGTTGTATCCGCCGAGAACTGAAATATTAAAAAAAAAAAAAATTTAAAAAAAAAAAAAAAAGGTGAGGGGAGGGCTGACCTAAACAGAGGCCTACCATCTCAGCAAACAGGCTACATCAGCTGGATCAGACACCCACAGGGCATAAGCCTTATGATGCTGACATACCACTCATGTTCCTACTCCTGTCACTAAGTCCACACAGTGAAATACAAGATGTTGGATTTGAGCATTACGTTGATCTACCTATATGAACATGCAGAACTTGCAAAAAAATATAGGTAACTTATTGAAGGATAGAAAAGCYCTTAGGATTATTTAATTTGGAAAAATAATTTGAAGGGTAACTTCAACTGAAAATGATGACTAGCTACTCACTATCTTTTGGAGAACAAAGTAGAAATTAATGGTTTAGACAAGATTTAGTTACATAGAACTATACAACAGAGAAGATGCCAACTTTAAATAACATGAAGAGCATAATATCTCTTTTTTGCATGGCCTAAATAAGAAATCTTCAACCTGGCCCTTCAGGAATGGGTTTGAGAAGTCTTGGGTAAGCCACATAAAAAGCCCTGCAGTCCAAAGAGCCAAAATCAGAGATCAAGTTCCATTCAACACTTAGGTTGAGAGGTTTCCCCATTACCAACAAGACACCAAGGTGCCATCCTGTAACTCCCAGGCCAAATCCTCTTGGTAAAAAGTGATTCAAAGTAATGAGACATCTGGGCCCTGGTACCGAACCATTTGGGCCTGCCCCTGAGCTCCCAAGATCATTCCCTTGCAAAAAGGAGTTGAAACAAGCATATCTTTAACTTCTAGTCAGATGCTCCTTAAGCACCCCCACTCACCCTCCTCAATTCTGGCACATGATGTTTACATAGCAGTCAGTTTATGGGTCTTTTCTGAAAGTTACTTGAGAGCAAGAACCCTGTCTTATTCCTTTTTTCCTACTCAAGCGCTTTATAGGAAAACAGTCCACTGATGTACATAGTCAAGACCTAAAAAGTTTAGTCTTAAGCCCCATCAGGGCAACACCCCCTTTGATTTCAGGCCTCTAACATAACAACATAGCTTTCTTCAATCTGAGAGTTCACCTTATCTGTGCTCCTCAGCAGAATGGGACTCTTGCCAAGTCACCTTTGACTTGCTATGAGTGACTCCCTCAGAGAAAAYGGCCTTGCCCTATCCTATATCCCCTGAGTCACAATGGGGTGGCTCTCATTTCTCAGAAATGATGCCACACTCTTCCAGATTATCTAGGGGTTGATATTCCTATTCTACCAGTCACTGTTTTTAAATCCACTTAAAATTTGGAATGATTTGCCAGGCGCAGTGGTGCATGCTAATCCCAGCAGCTCTGAAGGCTGAGGCAAGAGGATCACAAGTTCAAAGCCAGCCTCAGCAACTTAGCAAGGCCCTCAACAACTCAGTGAGACCCTGTCTCTAAATAAAATACAAAAAAGGGCTGGGGATGTGGCTCAGTGGTTGAGTGCCCCTGAGTTCAACACCCCCCCCCCAAAAAAGGAATGATTCAACACTCACTGATTACAGAATAGTTTTCAAGATATTTAAGATTTTGAACCATTTTATGTTTATGGGCTGATTTTTAATACTTAAATCACATTTAATTTTTAGCTATAGATTTAACTGAGAAACCACCCAACTGAAACCTCCCACACTATATTTAGCACTGTTAACTAAAATTCAGCTAAAGTATAATGTGCAAAAACTACATAGTTTAGAACTGTATTTGGCAATATTTCCAGCTAGAAACAAAATGCATGAGACTGTTGGTTAGAGGGAAAAGGCTGTATTCAAAATCTTAAAACTATCACTACATAGGAAGTTTGTTTTAAAAAACAAGATCTAAGAAGATAATGGTTGGGCTGGGTACGTTGTAGCTCAGCAGTAGCATATGTGAGGCACTGGGTTCAACCCTCAGCACCACATAAAAATAAATAAATAAAATAAAGGTATTGTGTCCACCCACAACTAAAAAAAATTTTTTTAAATACATAACACTCAATTAAAAAAAAAAAAAAGTAATGATTAAGTCAATTAAGGCTACCCTACCAATCAGGGCCTACCAATCAGGGCTCAAATATGATCATTCTCTAAGCTCTTCCTGATCCCATCCAGCACATTCACAGAAAATGACACTCACCAAACACAACTTTCACCTAATGAGCCTCTAGATTGATCAAATTTTATCAATAAGAATGAAGAGGAATCCAAATAGCAGTTAACACTAGAGTGTGTGCAATATGCTAARAATTTTCTATGTACATTACATGTATTAACTCACTCAAGAAACAAAGAGGCAAAAACTAGAGAAGACACTAAGGTCACACAGCAGCTAGGAAGTGGAAAAGCAGGATCTGAACCCAAGGAATTTGCTCTGCTTCCTCTTTAAGTACCCATTGTTCTTGCCAGCTTCTGCTCTAATTCACTTTTTAATCTTTTAGTTGTTTTATAGAAAGGCAAAACAAATTTTTTCTGATTGGCACAGCAGACCCATTTTATAAAAATAAAACCTCAATCTACATGGAAAAGATTTAGGTCTAAAGTCAAAGAATTATATATTTTATAAGAAAAAAAAATTATTAAGCCCTGATTAATTACTAATGTGGTTTAAAGAGACCTTAATCTTAACTACTTAATTTGATACTGTAGTGAAAAACTGTCCCAAAGCAAATCATCTTCAAATTAACTGCTATTAAAAACTGGTTTGTGACAATAAAAAGATTACCAGTTTTATTATGAGTGGGGGAAGTTTAATAAATATGGTAATTCTGCTTCCATGAGGAGAGGACAGATTATTCAATAAATAGTATTATATTTTACCCCCACTTGGAGCAGAGTCTGATGGTTGCCTATACTATACCAAAAATGAATTATAAATTAAAGATAAAACCTTTAGCTAAAAAAAAGCCTAATAAAATTAAATGAAAGAATGTAGAATGCACAAGGCTAAATAACTGGTAATGCTCAAAAAGTAAAAATCTGAATTGCATGTAGGGAACCAATTTATATTGAGTGCTATTACTCAATATACCCAAATCACAGCAAAATAAGCAAACCATAGATATGCATTAATAAAACATTCAAGAATAAAACATTAAAATTCAGTTTAGTCCTTACTGTTTGTGGATAGGAGAGGGGGCGCAATCTGTCATAATCTTCTTGTCCAGCTGTATCCCATAAGCCCAGATTCACAGGTTTCCCATCTACCATAACATTGGCAGAATAGTTGTCAAAACTGTAGAATGAGATAAAAGTGGTTAGTCGCAGACAAAGAATCAAAGTCACTGTCCCAGCAGTACCTCACATCTCATAGAAGGTTTGCTAAAAGGCAGCAAATGGACCTGGATACTGCCAGGCCAGGAAATGACCTGGCAAAAGGAGAAAGAGCTCTGAGAGAGAATGGCAGGCAGGCTGGCTGAAATGTATGAGGAACCAACTAAACACACACGTGAGAAAGAAAAATGCCTGAGAAACAAAGGACAAACTACTAAATTTAAGTGAAACAAATTTCTGTCAGCAATAAAAAATCTTTGCCTTAATAAACAAAAAGTTGGGGCTGGGGTTGTGCCTCAGTGGTAGAGTGCTCACCTAGCATGCACGAGGCACTGGATTCAATCCTTAGCACCACATAAATGTAAAATAAAAATATTGTGTCCACCTAAAACTAAAAAATAAATTTAAAAAAATAAAATAAACAGAAAGTTTAATAAGACTTTTTTTCCCAGGAAAAAGTGGAATTAGTTCCTCCTTCAAATCCCACGTGTGGGGTTTTTCATGTACAAGTCTTATAATTTTCAACAAGTGTTTCCAGTCTTAAAACATCTGAGTATATGGAGTGATACTTGGTACAGTCTTGGTCATCCATGCCTGCAACCAAAGTACAGTGGTAACAAGACATACCTGACTTTAGAAGCCACCCATGTTTTCAAAATGAGCACACCTGATCACATCAATGTTTAAAATAACTTAAAGCTACTATACACAAATTAGTTACTATAGGAAAAGGCAACAGAGAAAAAAGGCTTATAGGCTGACAGATATTTAAAAAGTGCTACTGGTATCATAGCCAATTAAAACAAAAATAAGGGCTTTATGATTTTTTTCAAGCTTTGCAATTTAAGCCAAGACAAATACCCTAATACATTATTAGTCTATAATAAAGTCAAGGATTTACTTTTTATATGCTTTTAATACTTCATACTATACTGCCTCTTACTATACTGCAAGAAGAGCAGAGTCGAGATCTAAGCAAGCTCCCAATATAATTTACAGAATTTAATGACCTAACTTGTTTTTATAAAGAAAAGGTTTGGGAGGTGCCCACGGCCCCTACTGGTAGCAAAGTAGGTTAAATGAATGTGGTAATTCTACTTCCATGAGGAAAGGACAGATTATTCAATAAATATTCAATAAACAGTATTGTATTTTCCCCCCACTGRCATGGGTGGAAAATCAGATGCTTGCCTCATACTATACCAAAACTTAATTAAAAACATTAGCCAAAAAAAGCCTACAAAAAAAAAATACTAGATAATATTCTTGCATCGAGGCAAAAAAAAAAAAAAAAGTGACCAGTGGTATAATCAGGTATAGTACTTCAAAATCAATAATCATTAGGGATTTAAGCTCTATCTATATGCATAGATAAAGTAAATTCCCACCATAAATACAAGACAACTAGGACAGAGTGTTACCATTTACATACTTTAAAATGTTCAATGGCACTTTCAGAGAGCACCTAAGCAGTGTGCTGTGCTTGAGCAGGGCGGGACTTAAAGCCATTCCTCTCCACAGTGTCTCTGCCTTCACTGGGATGCACAAGACTCACTGGGCCACAGTGAAGCTTGGCTACTTGAAACTCCCTGGTAACCCAACATCAAAAAAGCATTTTGCTGGAGCTGGGGTTGTGGCTCATCAGTAGAGTTTACCTAGCATGTTCGGGGTGCTGGGTTTATTCCTCAGCACCACATAAAAATAAAATAGAGGTACTGTGTCCAACTACAACTGAAAACAAAAAAGCACTTTTCCTTCTCCACCCAATTCTGCTGCCCTTGGGGAAGATGCAGCCCAATGGCCATTTCTATCCTACCTGGTTTCAACTGTGAAGCCTGTAACTTAACAGTGACCTAGAACCAACTGATGGATGACTTGTCAGAAAAAGCCAATTAAAATCTAATGGAATACTTCACGTTTCACTTCCCATAGAGCCAAATTTATCCAAAACTCTTACATTCACAAGAATTGTTCTCTGACCAATCTCTGGTCAGCTTCCTTTTGACTAGCTCTGGATTTCTTTATTTTACTACCAAGTGCTATATCTCACACTAAATTTTAACTTTGTTTTCTTGAGTATCTAAAAATTAGAAAAGCAAGGCTGTGTTTGTTCCATCATGTGAGAAAACTATATTAAACTGACCAGGTATTTCATAAAAGTCCAAAATACTTACAATTAAATCCCAGACAATGTTTGAGAGGAAAACAAATTATATCCACATATACAAGCATTAAGATAGGGTTAACAACAAATGGGAAAAAAATCAGAAAAAAACATATCAGACAATACAAATATAACTGAAGATACTTACACAGTGGGGATATACTCTCCAGGAAATGCATTGGTTGTATAACTGATCAGTAGGCAAGTTTTACCAACAGCTCTAAAAGGAGAAAAATAAGATTGCTTAGTTGACATGAACATAATTATAGTTTTCTTTGTTCTGTTAAAATAATTTCTAGAAATCCAAACAAACCAGCATTTTTTCAGAAAGGTAAGACTTTGGATCCATCTAGTTCTATTAAGGTGATGTGGTATTAGCACCAATAGTCAATATTTGTACAGTTGTTTGTACAAATTGCAAAAGGAAGTTACAAAAGGAAGAACATTCTAAAATTTWAAAAAAGTTTCTTCTGTGAACAAGCCTTTCATACAAGAAGTTTTAAGTTCTATACTCAATGTATTASTTCACTAATACTAATGCAAACATAGCTTGCCCCTGCAACATACATGCAGTTATTTCTGTAAGAACTAACTTATTTTGTCATCCCTCAGGGACACAGCTCAAACTCCCACCCACTTCCTAAAGGCTTCCCTCAGTTTTGACTCTTCTCCAGAGCTTTTAGTTAAAAACCACCTTACACAAATGTTCTCACATTAATTTATCTGTATGCATTTGCCACGTCATGAGCTTTTAAAAACAGGGTCTAACAATACAGTCCACACATATTAATTAATAGCTCAGAGATGATAGTGTAAACRTCCCAAACAGTTACAAAGAGAAAGTAAAAGAGAACCATGTAGAAATAAATATTCAGGGCAAAAGAGCCACCTGTACAACTGGTAATGGGTACAGACTGGATCAATATTACCAGTAAATCATCAGGCAAAAGTCAAAGTGGTGATTCAGTCTCCCAACCACCTGAAATGTTTTTCAAGAGAATATTTCTAAAAATTAAGATTCCTGGGGCCGGGGATGTGGCTCAAGCGGTAGCACGCTCGCCTGGCATGCGTGTGGCCTGGGTTCGATCCTCAGCACCACATATAAACAAAGATGTTGTGTCCACCAAAAACTAAAAAATAAATATTAAAAAAAAATTTTAAAAAAAATAAAAATTAAGATTCCTAGCCCAGGTGTAGTAGCACACATATAATCTCAGTTACTCAAGAGGCTCCCAAGTTGGAGGCCAGTCTGGGCAACTTAGCAAAACCCTGTCTCAAAATAAAATTTACAAGGGGCTAGGTATGTAATCAGTGGTAGAACACTTGTGTAGAATGTGCAAGGCCTTGTGTTCAATCCCCAGTACAAACCAATCAATGGACAAAAATAAATTAAGGTCACTGCACCACTGTGCAGGGGCATGGTTGGAGTTTTACAGCATTCATAGGTTGACTTCTTCAGGGCTTTCTAAGGGCTAAATTCACCAAATGTCCTCTATAGTGAGCCCAGTTTCTTGCTGTTTTCTGTTGGTTTACCAAAGTTAAGATGATAAGAGTTCACTATGGTATTGGTTTAAAAGTTTTTTATTGTTCAATCCCAAATGCCATAAATGGATTCACCATAAAGAAAGTTTAGTGCTTTACTATTTTTCCCTCACACTCTAAAGTTTTAAAGTGAAAATGTCTCAACAAGGGCAGATTACAGGCTCATTCAGTCTTGTCAGTACTTGTTTTACTCCTAACATTATTAAGGGCTTAACAAAAGTTGGAACTCTCCACCCCAAAGATCTCACAATCAAACATTACATCATCAGAAGGTAACTTCCAACTTCTAAGGTTTCCTAAATAGAAATGAGTCATTGGACATACATTTTGTAAAAGGCTTAGACTTTCAAAATGAACCTGTATAAGCAAGAGTCAAAAGATTTAGAGTCAGAAGCCTGCGTTTGAGATCCAGAACCAACTATCACTAAGTGGTTCCAATCTTTTGGCAAGTTCCAACTTTCTTTATGTGCTTCAGTTTTTGTGTTTATCAAACAGATGCAAAACTACCAACTCATTCAGCAAACTATTGTGAGCATAAATTCAGTTTTAATTTATAGCAAGTGTGTACTATAAGAAGTATATTAGGCACCGRAGATATTTCATTGAACAAGGCCTCACAGAGTATGTGCACTTATTAAACTAAAAAATGAAGAACACAATCATTACACAGAAGTACTGGTATGAGGCTGGGGATGTAGCTCAGTGGTAGAGTGCTTGCCTAGCATATACAAAGCCCTGGGTTCAATCCCTGGAGTCCAAACAAATAAATAAGTCCAAAAAATAAATAATCATCATCATCATCAGTATGATATTAGTAAAGATGCTCTGGAAATGCACAGCAAAAAATCTAACCTAATCTGGGAATGCACAGAAGAAAATCTAACCTTGTCTTTGGGGTAGACAGAGAAGGCTGCAATATATGCTAAAAACTTATGAGGAATGGAGACAGAATGGGCAAACAAAGCAACAGCAGATGGGGAGGCCCAGAGTTGAAAGAAGCCCAGCATAACTTAACAAGAAATATGGGGGCAGTGGTAGAGGAAAATCTGAAGAGGTGTCATCTCCTTAAGAAGAGATGTGGGATTGATCCTGCCTACAAGCCAGAAGGTAMATTGCCAAGAATGCATTCGATTTTCCAAGAAATATCCAAATACACTGTGGAAAGAGGACTGAGGAAGGTGTGACATGAGGTAGGAAAATAAGGAAGCTGCTGCTGTGTTCCAGTGGTAGTCTGGACCACAGAGAGGGACTGTAGGGTGAAAATAAACGGGCTGTTTCATGAGCTACTTAGACACAAAGCAGAACAATCATGGTTTGGCCATGGTTTGGATGTGGTAGTTGAGAAAGAAAGTGGAGTCTAAGGCCAGGATAAATAAACCCTTTTTCAAAATGACAAATGTTGTGTAGAAAACGATAACAATTCTTGTCACTTAATGTCTAAGACAAGCAACTATAAATGTTTTAAGATAAAATATCTTGCTGAACACACTGGTGCAGGCCTGTAATCCCAGTCACTAAAGATACTGAGGCAGGACGATTTGAGACCCTGTCTTAAAATAAGTAATAAAAAGGACTGGGATTGTAGCTCAGTGGTAAAGCACTCCTGGATTCAATCCCCAGTACCAAAAAAGAAAAAAGATATTGGCATAATCTGATACTGGCTGATAATTTACTATCAATCATTATTGATTACTGGCTACAAATCTATGTTCTTTTTTTTTGGGGGGGGGGGGCGGTTACCGGAAATTGAACTCAGGGGCACTCAATCACTGAGTCACATCCCCAGCCCTATTTTGTATTTTACAAAGTGAGACAGGGGCTCACTGAGTTGCTTAGTGCCTTGTTTTTGCTGAGGCTAGCTTTGAACTCTCATCCTCCTGCCTCAGTCTCCGGAGACACTAATCTATAAGTCTTTGCGAAAAAGATTAAATTGTGGAATTCTGATTTTTAAAATAAGTACATGCCCTACCTTTTTTTAATTATTAAGAACAAAAAAATTAAAAATTTTATTTATTCATTCCTTGTATATATAAAAATATAAATCAGAGGCTGGAGTTGTGACTCAGAAGTAGAACGCTAGCCTAGCACATGTGAGGCGTTGGGTTCAATCCTCAGCGTCACATAAAAATAAATAAATAAAATAAAGGTATTCTGTCCAACTACAACTAAATATGTGTGTGTTTATATATACATACATACATACATATACAAACATATATAAATCAACTCTAGAGGTCAGAGTCAATGTCTGCACTTGGCAAAACAACTTGAATATAAATGCATGAAGAATGTCAGCCATGTTGGATCACAGTGTGGACAGGCTCTTGTAGAATTTCTGGAAGTTTTGCTTTGGAATTTCCAGTTTTATATATTTAACTGCTCAGTTAAAAATCTTTGAAAGAGGGCTGGGGATGTGGCTCAAGCGGTAGCGCGCTTGCCTGGCATGCGTGCAGCCCGGGTTCGATCCTCAGCACCACATATCAACAAAGATGTTGTGTCCGCCGAGAACTAAAAAATAAATATTAAAAAAATTCTCTCAAAAAAAAAAAAAAATCTTTGAAAGAGGGCTGGGGATGTGGCTCAAGCGGTAGCGCGCTCCTCGGGCGTGCGTGATAACTGGGTTTGATCCTCAGCACAACATAAAAATAAAGATATTGTGTCCATCTATAAGTCAAAAAAAATTTTTAAGGGATCTAGGAAGCTTAAATAATTTTCTGCACTGCTTTTTAAGATAAACTGATCTTAGGAAAGAAAAAACATTCTTCCAAGAACAACTGTAAACCAAAACAAAGAGCATGCAATGTCATCTAAAAACACAGTTTTGTTTTAGTTTTTTTTTTTTTTTAATTGGAGAATGAATCCAGGGGCACTCAACCACTGAGCCACATAACCAGCCCTTTTAATATTTTATTTAGAGACAGGATCTCACTAAGTTGTTTACACTCCCACTTAGTTGCTAAGGGTGGCTTTGAATTCAAGATCCTCCTGCCTCAGCCTCAATTTACAGTGAGAAATAAGGTATGGGGATTCTGTAACAAATGCTTAAAGAGAATATGTACAGAAAAAAATATGAACTAGTAAGAGTAGTTCAGGGGTTGAGGTTGTGACTCAGTTGTAAAGCACTTGCCTTGAAAGTGTGAGGCACTGGGTTTAATCCTCAGCACCATATAAAAATAAATAAAGGTATTACGTTCATCTACAAAAAAATTATTTTTAAAAAGAGTAGGTCAGAGCTGGGGTTGTAGCTCTGTGGTAGAGCGCTTGCCTAGTATGTGTGAGGCACTGGGTTCGATTCTCAGCACCACATATAAATTTAAAGAAAGGCACAGTGACAACCAATATTAAAAAAAAGAGAGAGAGAGACAGAAGTTCAGTGTTACAAAAACACAAAACCCAATCTGAAATCTTAAGTTCTATTTCCAACAGTGAATATCACAGCAAATGAACAGAAAGCTAGCCAAAACCAAACAAAAACAGAAAGCTAGCCATCATCACCATTAGAGGCTCCCTAAAAAATTAAGATTCCAGGACTGGAGATATAGCTCAATGGGACAGTACTTGCCTAGCATGTGTGAGACCCCAGTTCAATCTCCAGCACAGCGCACACACATGTGCACACACACACACACACAGACACAAACACACACACATACAAATTAAGATTCTGTTTAAAGTTTC